TACCTCGACATTACATCAATGCACTTAAAGGTTTAGCAGAAGACACGACCATCAGGGTCACCACCGCTGATAAAGGAGGTGGTGGTGTTATCATGAACACTGATGATTACAGGAACAAAGTGCTCAATCTACTTAATGACCCAGATACCCACAAACCTCTCACAACTAACCAAGTGGACAACCTTACTAAAACTTTTCTTCAAAGGACTCGCCGCATTCTGAGGGACTCGGAACAAGGGAAGAAACTTCTTCACACCACACCCAGCAACCCTAGACCTGCCAGAATGTACGGCCTGCCAAAAACTCACAAGCCTGGTATCCCACTGAGGCCCATATCCTCGGGAATAGGGAGTGCTCCCCACCAACTCTCAGGAATTCTCACAAAACACCTCTCTAAACTCTTGGGCACTATCAGTCCAGCACATCTCAAACACTCGGGTGATCTTCTCAATCGCATTCGCAACATCAACATCAGGAACAAGAAACTTTCCAGCCTTGACGTAACTTCCCTATTCACCAAAGTACCTACTACACAAGCCATCGATCTCTTGCACAGGAAAATTGACGATTCACTTGATCTTCCTATTCCAGCCAGCTATTTCATCGACCTTGTTGAATTATGTGTTGGCTTTACGTGTTTCTCTTTTGAAAATCACCTCTTTCAGCAGACTTTTGGACTATCCATGGGTTTGCCACTCAGTGCGGTCCTGGCGAACCTATACATGGAACATCTAGAAGCCGAGTGTTTCTCCACCATTATTCCTTCGTCTATCACCTGTTGACGGCATGTCATCTGTTGACGACATTCTCCTCATAACTCCTAGACTCTTCAATGTTCAAACTCTCCAAGACAAGCTCAACCAGGTCGAGCCCTCAATCCAGTTCACACTTGAAGAAGAAGTCGACAACACTCTTCCTTTCCTTGATGTTCTTCTCTGCAAAGCTGACCATGAACTTTGTTTTAAAGTCTATCGAAAACCCACCAACCAAAACGATCTTCTCCATTTCTACTCTCACCACAACACCAAAACTAAACATGGTGTAATTATAGGCTTCTTCCTGCGTGCACTCAGAATCTGCAGCAATGAGTTTCTTGAGGAAGAATGCACCATAATTGAACAAGTATTTTCTAAACTCCACTATCCTCGTCACTTCATCAGAGACTGCAGACAACGAGCATTAAACATCTTCAACACACCCAGAGAAGACACTGCCGAGAAGGGATACATAGTCCTTCCCACCAACTCCATTGCCAAACACGTTTCCAACATCTTTTCCAAGTATCTACCTCCACAACCACGACCATCAAGGACATTACCAGTAATAGACAGGACAGGCTTCCATCCTCTGCAGGGGTATACATAATCCCTTGTAATGACTGCAGCAAATTATACGTGGGCGAAACATCAAGGGACCTCCAAACATGTATTTCAGAACACCAATACGCAAGCAGGTCTGACGATACAAGGAATGCCTGTGTACAACACCGTAATTCACACAACCATTTAATAAACTACAGAAACTCAAGACTTATCGCCACAGAAGACCACTCATTACCGAAGAATCCTGGAATCATCACTTATCTCTATATCCGACAACTTCAACCAGAATAATGGCTTCTATAACATTGCTGAACCTCTTGCCAAGAAACTTCTTCATCGCTATCCCACATAAGAGTATAGGAATGGAAGAACACTGCAGAAGGTCTGCTCACAAACTTATCCAATCTCCTTTCCAAGCTACCCAAGATTTTAGACTCTATAACCCCACTCGGTACATCATCAGATGCAGTATTCTCCACCTGACCTCAACATTCTGAACCTGACTATAAATACTCGCGTACCTTCCACCCCAGGTAGATCTGTTTGTGACCTGAAAAAGCCCACTGTGTGGGCAAAACATTGTCAATAAAGGATCACATTATACTGCAAATGTGTTCATATTTCCAATAATGAAGTAGGTGGTGTATTTGTTTAGTTTTTGCATGAAAGAAAGGAAGGTACACAAAGGTTGGTAGAGTGTATGCATAGTTCCTTTTTATAAGAAAAAGGATAAAATACAGAGTCCAAGAATTCTAGGGAAACTAACTTGAGTATACCAGGTAAAGTGTTGGAATTACTGATGAACTAGTGAGGGGTGAGACAGACCATAAGATTGCAGAAGAATAAGGATGATTTAGGATGGGTAGGGGATGTGTAGGCTAAATGTTTAAATTGGAGCATGTAAGCGAGAATACTTAAATATAAGTAAGGAGCTATTTGTTGCATATATGGATTTAGAGAAGACATAAGATAGGGTAGAGAAGGAAGCAATGTAGCAGATGTTGCCAATGAATGGAATAGGTGGTAGGTTACAAAATTCAGTAAAGAGGTTTTAAAGCAGATATTTAGTCATTCCAAGAAGGGTTGTATGGAGGAGCTTAAAGAGGATTTGAATGCTAGGGGTTTGAGTATTCAGCAGACGTGTGTGTGTTAGATCGCATTGGAGACAAGTGATTTTTGTGGCTTGATGTACTGTTGGAATGTGAGCAAGGTAACATGAAGAGATTCAAGAAAACTCATTAGCTGAGCCCAAGTTCTGGACGTGGGAAGTACAGTATCTGCACCCTGAAGGGGAACAGGTGGGGATATTGTAGTTCAGAGGGTCATTTAAAATGTGGTGTCTACTCACTTCTGGCAAGACAGTTATTGAAAGCATGATGGTGAGTGTGTGACTTTTTTTGTCACATTTCCTCAGTGGAAGATGACTGATGTGTTAAAAAAAAATAATGAAAAATGAACAAATATCCTCAGACCTTGCAAGATAGAAATTTTAAATACTTCAGTGCTGTGCGAAGTCTCTGCCTCAGAAATAAGTTTTCAGTTAAAAAATATTCAAAACTCTATAGAGAAGCTATAAGTTCTTAATTTTTTTACTTTTTTTTAATGGTGTAACTTGCAATACAGTATGAGAAATGTTTCTAAAGCAAAATCCTGACCATAGAGAGGTTGATGAGGTAATTTCCAGTGACAGTTTAAAGGTTTAATATAAAATTTAATTCCATACAGAGTGGTAGCTTTAAATTGGTTTATGTATACTGTATATATATTTTCAAAAAATATTTCATAATCAACGTACATTTCCACATGATGCAACCATCCATTGGGACAGATCACTTCCAAGTACAGTGAAACCTCAGCTTACGAATTTAATCCATTCTGTGGACTTGTTCGTACCCTGATTTGTTTGTATGCTGGGTCAATTTTCCTCATTTAAATTAATTGAAATGCAATTAATTTGTTACAGCTGAATTCCTGCTCTCAAGAGCATGACAAAATAACCCTAATATCAACTCTACGGCTTATTTATCACAATTCGTCTAATATGACATAATAAACAATATAAATAACATAGAAACCTGATATATACTCTAGAATGAATAAAATACATGTCATTACATGGACGGCAGAGGGAGGAGGATTGTGGTCGCAAGGGTGGTCGCTATGTGCAATTTTTATGTTTTTCTCATTACACTACGTACCTGGTCTGTGCTCATCAGTGATGTCTTGCTTTAATTCCATGCAAATCATCCTCTTTTTCTTCTCGGCACTGTCCTTTGTACTAACTTTCTTAGAACCCATGGTTAAGAGAAAAAAATCTGGCAAATTAACTGCACGAAACATAAGGAAATCACTAGAATTCCTTGGACTGCGAGGGTAGCTTGGCAAGCACATGTGCACTGGTGAGCATTGTCATGGTGTTGTCAAACTAAATTATACGCAGTACGTACATGGTATTATTGTTATTATTTATTATACATAATTATTATTATGTATTATTATTATTAGTATATACATATTATTATAATAATTATCATTATTATTAATTTAGGGACCTGGAGCACAGATCCAATTCCCTTGATCAAGAACCCATCACCATGTATGTACTACTACTACTACTACTACTACTAATAATAATAATAATAATAATAATAATAATAATAATCATTATTATGACAGTAACAGTAATAAAAATAAAATACATATAATAAATAACAGTAAGGAGAAACTTCAAAAGGCAGTCAGTAGTTGGTGCCACCATCAGCAAAACATTGGTAACCACTACTAGTACACTTTTCACCTGTCTAGACTTAAGTAGTCTATTAGTATTAGGTTAAATCTGCCTGAAATGCCTCAGCATGATAGAGGCTTTTCTTTGCTCCAATCATATTATATGTAAACACATTGTAACCTTGGCAAAGAAAGAATATTTATTTATTTATTTATTTATTTATTTATATATTTAAGAAACCTCCCTTGATGGGGAAGTTCACATCCTGAAGTTTCATTCGTATCCAGAAGCAAAAAATCAACCAAACGACGATTTGTATCCTGAAAAATTCGCATGGTGGGGTGTTCGTAAGCCAAGGTTCCACTGTATATTTTTACTGTATCAAACTAACCATACGATTAATAGTAACAGAGAGAAAGATTAATAACCATTCCCAAGTGACTGACTGAAGCTCAGAGAAAAACTAAAATACCTGGGGTATATAATATTTCATCAGTTTTCTAGAGAATGTAATTTGCTTAATGTTTGTATTTAGTACAAACCAGTACTATAACAAATATACTGTACAAGTAAATTATAGTGGAAGACAGCTGGTATATTAAAAAAATTATATATATGGGGTGTGTGCCTGTGCACTCATGCACACACCATGCAAGCACATGCACACACACATATACATATATACATGCTGTGTATTGTATAGTAATCTTGTTTTTGAGAAGAGTACACATGAATTTGCAATACATTATTAATAAAATTAATTTCCTTGCCAAATTAGTGGACAAACATTTTGAGTATTGTTTCAATAAACACATGGTTATTAAAGAACACCAAAAAATTAATAGACATAATTGAAGATATAGTTTTGGTTAGCTTGTAATCAGAAGGAAAACTTGCTAGTTTATATATATCCAATTCTAATTGTATTTATTTGAAGGAAATTAAACTAGTTTACATGCTGTATTTTCATTTCCAGTAAATTAAGGAAACTATCTTTGTTTATGTATATACAGTTCTAATCATTTATAGGAAACTTTACTAGTTTACACATATTCATTTCTAGTTAAAAGGACATGAAGCACGTGTATGAACCCTACGTTGGAAATCAATAGGTGAAGTTGGCTCAGGATAAGAGCCTCTTATATTGACATTGATGGGTTCTGTATGTTCATAGTGCACATCCACCTCAGTCTCTTGATATGTCTTAACTTCAGGCACTGCTACCACCCAGGGTTGAAGACTATTACCGTTTTCAAAGGAGAAACAATGATGACCATGTAATGGAGAGAGTGGACCTGCATTTGAGTGTAGAGTTGAAAAGCTTTGAGAATAACAGCATTCACCCAAGTAATTTGCTTCTTCCTTTGCTTTTTCAGCACGACGAATACACACTATACACACGATAATGGCGATGATTATAACTACAACGACACTTGTTGCTGATATGATTAAAGGAAGTGATGTTGATGTACATTCTTCACTGTAATAAACTCTGACATTTTTATACAATGCTAAACCTGATTTTCTTTGACAGCGAGACTTTTCAATCACTACTTGTTGTGTTAATTGGTCATTGTAGTCACTCTTCTCAGAAATGCCCAGCAGCTGTTTGAAAGTGTCATGGATATTGCACTCACACAGAATGTTAAATCTATTGTCGAGTATTTTACGCTCATAACTTGGATAATTTCTACTGATCACAAGAGATCTGTTCACTGCTTTTTCCACTGTGTTGTTAAGGAAGACAATATTTGCTCCCCGTGCATTGGGATATGGCTTTATTGCAGCTAGTGCATCTGCACCCAGGTACATCACATAGTTATACTCAAACAACACCTGTGGAAATAATACATTGTTAGTGCTTTTGAATTTTACAGAACTCTCATATAAATTTATAACTATGATAACTAGAAAGCAAGTGAATATGTACAGTAAATGTTGTTCAAGAGATTTCAGGATGAGTTTTTCACCACATTTATTGTGGATGAATAAATCAAATAGAATAACTATTATTGTGCTGAATTTCTAAACTTCTCAAGATATGACTTACAAAAGTGAATTTGAAATTATTGAAGAAATTAAAAAATAGATACTGAGATATGAAACACATCAAAGTAAAAGATATATTCAGTTAGGTAGATATTCATTTAAAGTAGTTTGTATTACCCATGAAAAACAATGCTAAGGAGAAGTGTGTTTGAATAAGAGGATATTTATTTGGAGAGTATCTAATGTACCTTGTTCATTCTCAGGCTCATTGCCTCCATACTTTACACAGCTGTCCCCAACCAAGACAGACATTTATTTTATCATTACCATTTACAGCTTTCTTATAGGAATTTTAAATATTAATAGGATATGGAGATGTGTAAAGGTGTTAAAATTCATTAACTATACTACATTTTTTATATATATATAAATCTGGTAAGATGTGCCACAGTTTTGATAAATGATAAATTTTATTTCTAAAAAAGTATAAATAATGAGCTGTTGAAGTTGGAGACGGGCATGATTTCTACCACGTCTCATGTTGAAGATGCCTTCTTTACTCTAAAAAAGTATGTTTTACACTTGCTTCAGAAAAGTGACATTATTAACAAAAAAAGCCTCTGGTTATGCAGAACACTTTGGGTAGACTTAAAATAAACTTGCAACTACTACTGGAATTTTTGCAAGCAATTTGTTTGAAGTTTCGGTAAAACAGTTTGCTATAACGTTTGTGAAGGTTAATACAAATGTTGGTCCAATACAAATGCAACTACTGCTCTAAATTTCGGTATTACTGCACAGGACATACAATAAACTGAAGGCCCATATGTAAGAAAGTTACAAAGCCAAGATTAATACTAATATAACATAAAATAAATTGGACGTTATATATACAGTGCTAGTCACAGCATAATTCCGCCCCTCCCCCACACATGTACCAAAACACTAGCACATATCATGAAAGATTATAATATATATATATATTTGCACACTTAGTGAGGTTTTAATTCTTGGTGCTGCTTCTTTACACTTAATCACATCCCTCAGCCATATAGGAAGACTCTCACACAAATTCTTGAGGGTTTGGGGAGGTATATTATTCCATGCCTCATGTAGAGCAGCCACGGGATGGAACTGATATCCTTTCCCAGTAAACTTGGTTTCACTATTGACCAGAGGTTCTTAATAGGGTTTAGGTCTGGGGAATTGCCTGTCCAGTTCATTAAAGGACCTCATTTCACAGTCTTAAGCCAGTGAGCTATAGATTTGGCGGTATGACACAGTGCACCGTCCTGCATAAAAACCTTTGCCCCCACACTTGTCAAACACCGTAGGTAAATTGTCACACAATAATTCCAGAAATAACAAAAAAAGGCACAATACCGTGACTGGAACGATACACAAATAACCCGCACATAAAAGAGAGAAGCTTACGACGACGTTTCGTTCCGACTTGACCATTTACAAAGTCAAACTGTGTGACTTTGTAAATGGTCCAAGTCGGACCAAACATCGTCGTAAGCTTCTCTCTTTTATGTGCGGGTTATTTGTGTATAATAATTCCAGGTAATTATACTGATTTATATACTGGTTTTTGGGAGGCACAATAAGTTCACCAACACTTTAAGCACTGAAATATCCCCAAACCATGAGCGAGTCTGGGCGTTTGGTGGTCCCACAGGTGTAGCGTGGATCTAGCGGGTCACTACCTCTGGGCCAGTACACATGTCCCCATAGTTACAGGGGGTGGTGGAGGTAGCTTCATCACCCCAAGGTACTTTAGACCACCGTTGAGGATTCCAGTGAAGATATTTCTTTGCATAATCAAGCCTACAATTCTTCTGTGGCTTGGAGAGGATCAGTTTCTTAACCTGGCGGTGACTACTGTAGCCCAGTTCTGACACGTATGTTAATAGTTCTTACAGACACCTCTGAGAGAAGATGTAGGTTCTTTTCTTTCAATTCTCTAGCAGTTATCTTTGGTGTACTCTATAACTGCTTCTTTAACACAGTTAAGGTATGAACAGATGTCTTCTTCGAGGGGCCAGGCCAAGGTTTGGCAGATGGTAACTCAACACCGTCACCAGCCTTGAAACGCTGCACCCAGTTCCTCACTGACCACTCTCACACACCAACATTCTCCACTATTTCTTTCATCTGGTGACCAGTTTTGTGAAGCCCTGTGATTTGAGTTATAGTTTCATGTGTAAAGACTTCCTTTTACCCATAATCAAACATGTATAGCCCCAAAACCCAAAAGGGGAACACCAGACAAAAGAGGGGGCAATGGAGACAAAAAGCAACACTTCCTCTCCCCATGGCATCACGTGAGCATGCAGTCACTGTGGATGTGGTGGTGGGCTATGACATCATGTAAGGCTGCTACCCGGGCATAAGAACTGACGAGAAAAGACCCCCCCCTGTATGGAGGCTTTAGATTTTCATCACGGCATTATCCCGGGGTGCCACCTGGCATAATGGGGGCTGCACTGTAAGGTTATATAAATTTTTTTATATACTGTTATTTAAATATTGCAGAAAAAATTTTTAGTGGAATGATTACTGTACTGTATTTGTTAAGCATTAAATTAAAATTTATGAAAATATGAAGGAAATGTTTAAATTAAAAAAGGGAACAGATGGGTTATTTCAAGTGTGAGCTTGTTTTTTTAGGGTTTTTTTCCGGGGAGTGTCCTAGGTCACCATCCCCATTAAATATATGCTTTGAAGGGGGAAAACCAAGTTTAAATACAGTAATTCATATAAAATTTTTATTTAGGGGTTTAAGGATTTGAAGCACCAAGTAGTTGCCGGAAATTTGATTTTGTAGAATCTAAGCTTGCTTTTTTTTGTGTATAATTGTTTTGAGATGGACAACTGAGGTAAACCCCAAGCAAAAATTGAATGGTTGAAGATAGTTATAAGAAAAATGTGTGTAGTGTAAAATTTTAGGATAATGTAATAAATTTTTGGAAGAAATCCTACAGCTTTTTATATATGACATTAAGTTTTTGTTTACTTCTGCTAGAAAACTTAGGAACTTCCTCTTCCTTTTCCTTCAATTAATTTTTTAATTTGGATGACTAATTTGGATATAAGTTTCCCAAAAGTTTTATGTTAGTATATTTACTTTTTTTTTTTGTTTTAAGTAAGTTAATTTTTCAAAGTCCTACCAAGTTCATTATTAACAAATATTTAAAGCTGGAACTAAATCAGATAAGGTATAAGTTTTGTCATCACAAAGAGTTCTAAAGTTTGAAATTTTTTATTATTTTGTAATTTCAAACCCAGGGGGAAATGGAAAAGAATTTTTTCTCCGTATGCATGCGGTCTTAAGAGGCGACTAAAACCCGGGCAGGGGCTATAACCCCTTCCCTTATATATTTCTAAATTTAAAAACGAAACTTTCGTTTTTTTTTTTGGGCCCCTCCTCGGGAAACGGGTTGGGGCTTGAAAAAGAAAAATTATCATTTATTAAATTTTCCCCTAATTTGTTTCTGTTTTTTGTAAAGTTAAAAGTACAGTGATTTACATAATTTTACAAAACTTATACATACTGATAGAGGAAATAAACCCCAAAGGGTTTTGTTCCTAACTTTTCATTTATTTGAGAAAAAAACCCCACCATCTGGCACTAAGCAGATGGGGTGTGAGACAAGCCTGGGGAAATGCGTATTCCACAACCCTCCCCCTAGATATCAAGATGTAAGCATTTTCTTCCATGTTCTCCCCTTGAAAAACAACCCTTTTACTGTCTCTTACACATGTCTAAGTTTTTGATTACCATGTTTAAATTTTTCGTACATATTTTATGACGTAAAACTTTTTTTCTAAAAAAAGTTTTGAAAAATTTTTTTCCCGCTTTGGGGGCCAAAGTACTGTTTATCTTTTTTATCAAATTTAGCCAATCAGAATTGGGGGGGATGGGGTGTCCTCGACCTGAAAATCTTTCGCTGAAAAAATAAATTTAAGAAAGCACCCCAAAAGTGCTGCAAGTGGGAAATTTTTGGCCCAGAAATGAGGAATGGGGCCAGCGTGTGCACATTATATAAAAAAATTCCTGCTTCCTACAGTAATATAAAAACAAGCACCCCGACCCCGTATATTTTTAAAATACAACTTTAAGGTGTTAGTTTTTTGGCTCTTTCTTTGGGATCTTAAATGGAAATTTATTTGGTCAGTTTCAAGATGGGAAGTATCTTGAAAATGGTCAAAAAGTAATGGAAATACTCAATTCAAGCTGGACAAATTTTGATTTAAATAGATATTTGATAATAGAGTTGTATCTAAGGTGAAGCAACTTTGGGTTGCTTTAAAAATAGGTTGACTGTAGGCCTACTGCAGTATTCCAATATTCTTATGCTCAGATTATGTAAGCAAACAAAAGTGTTATCATAATAACACTAGTGTACATTATTGTTATCGTAATAACACTAATACACATTAGTGTTGTTGTGATAACACTAGTGTACAGTATGTAGTACCTTTACATTGTGCATCTTAAAGTAGAGAATTCGTGCATTGGAGAGTGCATATCTTGCAATGGTTGTTATGTTGCACCTGAAATAACAAATATTGCATTAATATGGTGGTTGTATTAATATAACATATTGCATGATTTTAGAATGATAAGGTAAAGAAGAAAACATTACAAATTTAAAGTAGTAATATCTCTCACTCAGAATTCTTTTGCAGTAGTATTCAGAATCCCTGTACTCCCAAATTCAGAAAATAAATTTCTAATTTAAACCCCTTGACTGTCGCAGCCCCCAATCCTGAGGTGTCTCCTGGTGTCGCAAAAATTTAAAAAAAAAAAAAAAATCTTATGAAATGACAGAGAATCTTTTCTCAATTGTAATGACACCAAAAAAACTAAATTTGATGGAAAACTGATGGAATTACGCTCTTGCGAAATTAAGCGACCTCAGCGATATTTATAAATCAGCGATTTCGCCCACTTTGAGCCCTATTTTCGGCTAATTCCATTGTTCCAGTCGACCAAACTCATAGCTATTTCTTTAGAACTCCTTTTTTTTCTATCGATTGAGCACAAGAAACTACCCATTTACCGATTTCAACTACCGAATAACGTGGTCAGAAATTTTCAATTTGGCCAATTTCACAAAAATTAAAAATATGACAATTTCAAAATAAGGTCCAGAATGAACAATGCAGACATTCCTGGCTCTAAAATAACATTTTCTTTGTTCATCTGTCACGTCTCCAAGCCCCTCTGATATTACTCTTGCTTTCTATTTTGAATTTTTATTCAAACAAAAAATAGAAGATTTACTGTTATGCAGACTACTGCAATACTGTAATAATTGTACAAATAATGTTAACCCATTCATGACTGCATATTAGAATGGCTAGTTGGACATTTATTGGACAATGACATCGTTTGTTTACTTTTGAACATTGTCAAAAATCAAACATTTCCCCTACTTTGAGCTTCATTTCCAGGTTCTTTTTATAGTAAAACCAATCAAAATCACCTCTATTTCTATAATATGTTTTTCCATTCTATCAACTGAGACCAAGGAAAACGAGAATACAACCATAAATACTATACGAAAATAGACCACAAAGTCTGCATTTTAATTAAAAAAAACAGCCGGAGTTTTTTTTTTCTCATTATGCACTGCGTGCTGCAGGATTTTTTATATGGTGCACACTGACCACACAGACCCATTCTCTCACATGTGGGCCTACCAGCTTTCTCCTGCTTGATTTGAAGCCGCTAGAATTTATGAGTATATATATGTCAAACACGGTACCTCGTAAGACGTATATATATACGACCGAAAAACAGTCAAAGAGTTAAGGTGTATTCTCCAAAATTAAGAATTTTGGTAATATAGTTGAGTCAGTATTCATGAATTCCTGATTTGAAAGTGCTTTGGGGATGTAACCCATGTGAATTTAGGGTCTGACTGTACTCTTACAAGGTAGAGTGACCCCCCCCCCCCCCCCCCAAAAAAAAAAAAAAACACCGTTTTTCACTTTATCACTGTCTTGCTAGGTGTTTGCAGATACGACAGTTCGATGCACAAGACACTAAGCAACAATAAATATAGTTGCTCGGTGTTTTTCTTTTAAAACAGTATCTGTTTCTTGTATTGAAATTTTAACTTTCCCTAAGCTGCTTTTATTTATGTGATTTTGACAAGTGCTGTATTACGTACAGGTATATCAGTGTCAACAGCATCAAAAGAACATTGACACTCAACATGTTTATGAATTTTATATTTATAAAACTGTGTGAAATGTGGTGTAAGCGTGATTGATGAAGCTTAACATTGCTTACTATATAAAGAAATAAATTTGTTTGATTATATTGATTGTGGTGTTCCTTGCTGTATGCAGATTTGCTTTATTAAATTTCTCATCTGTACTGGTGATTCTGTATGTGCAGTACACATTCTTCATGTGCAGATGGTATGGGTTCATGCAAAATTCCCTATGGCAAGACTGAACTTAATGTAGCTGCCATGGACCAAGACTGCATCTAAAACATAAAACCAGGGATGCCTATTTATATAGTCCAACATTGATAAGAGAAGGTGTAGGAGGCTGAGGGATCACTTCCAAGTCTCAGACCAAAATTTAAGAGTTATCTATCATTTTATTTATTAACCAACTTACCACTCAAACTGCAGAGTAAGGAATCTTGTTTCTTGCAAGTCTATATCATTTCTTTGGTCTTTACTTCTTGAATATTGGGTGAGAGTTTCACTTGGTATTTCTCTGATGTTACATTTTGTAAACACCACTGCTACTTCCATGTTCTCTCTGTACAGTATTTATAATTGTCATTATGAATTTGGTTTATGTATTAATTTGACTTAAAAGATACATATTACTTTTAGATATTTATGACAAACATGCAGATATGTGACTGTATTATTTGTTTACAAAAATCTATTTTTTACATATTTAATGCTTAATTTGCTTAACTGCATATGATGATGAATCATTAAATCCCATCTGACTGCTGAACATAAATGAAATTATCAGTATGTTGTAAATAACACTATGTATGTGTGTATGTACATAACAGCATATCTCACTAATATGGTGTGTTAGGCTCCAGACTGCTGCCATAAAGCAAATCACAGCTTTTTTTTTTTTTTTATACTTTATACTTTACAGTGCATATAAAAGCCTGAAAACATTTTTATGCTATCATTTATTTTTTAAAAAATTATGCAAAAGTAAATATAAAAAAAAAATTAAAATTGCCGAAACCCATCTTAAGAGCAAGGTAGTTGCCAAAAATAATAACCATGAATATATTTGAAAAATGCCATATTAGCGAAGCACGCTAAAGCAAGTGCCATATTAACACGGTATGCCTGTGTATAACTATGTATATATGGGTATGTAAAATCATCCATCTAAAACTAAGAAAAAATATCCTACTCACTTTGCTTTGTAACTGAAGTACAAAGAGTTTTTGAAGAGATGTATTAGTCCAATGTTTTCAAAGTGAATTTTCCGGAGCCCAAGGTTTTCACTGGAGAACGTACCATTATTTATTGTTACATATTTAAAGTTCAAGATATGCAGAGATGTTGCATTCTGAGGAATAAGCTCCCTGCTTAGAGTTAGATGTTCTGATGCCCCCTGCAAATTATAATAGTGGTAATACTGTAGCATAACTAAAAAAATTATTTTATGTACAGGTACTATTAGTTCCTGTTAGTAATGGGGTTGTGTTCTAGAAGTTATCTTTAAAGCAAGTCATTTCCAGTAAACTTAATATAGTGTTTAAAGGTAGATAGATCTACAGTTATTATTATTTTTTATTATCACACTGGCCGATTCCCACCAAGGCAGGGTGGCCCGAAAAAGAAAAACTTTCACCATCATTCACTCCATCACTGTCTTGCCAGAAGGGTGCTTTACACTACAGTTTTTAAACTGCAACATTAACACCCCTCCTTCAGAGTGCAGGCACTGCACTTCCCATCTCCAGGACTCAAGTCCGGCCTCCCGGTTTCCCTGAACCCCTTCATAAATGTTACTTTGCTCACACTCCAACAGCACGTCAAGTATTAAAAAACATTTGTCTCCATTCACTCCTATCAAACACGCTCACGCATGCCTGCTGAAAGTCCAAGCCTCTCGCACACAAAACCTCCTTTACCCCCTCTCTCCAACCTTTCCTAGGCTGACCCCTACCCCGCCTTCCTTCCACTACAGACTGATACACTCTTGAAGTCATTCTGTTTCGCTCCATTCTCTCTACATGTCCGAACCACCTCAACAACCCTTCCTCAGCCCTCTGGACAACAGTTTCGGTAATCCCGCACCTCCTCCTAACTTCCAAACTACGAATTCTCTGCATTATATTCACACCACACATTGCCCTCAGACATGACATCTCCACTGCCTCCAGCCTTCTCCTCGCTGCAACATTCATCACCCATGCTTCCACCCATATAAGAGTGTTGGTAAAACTATACTCTCATACATTCCCCTCTTTGCCTCCAAGGACAAAGTTCTTTGTCTCCACAGACTCCTAAGTGCACCACTCACTCTTTTCCCCTCATCAATTCTATGATTCACCTCATCTTTCATAGACCCATCCGCTGACACGTCCACTCCCAAATATCTGAATACATTCACCTCCTCCATACTCTCTCCCTCCAATCTGATATTCAGTCTTTCATCACCTAATCTTTTTGTTATCCTCATAACCTTACTCTTTCCTGTATTCACCTTTAATTTTCTTCTTTTGCACACCCTACCAAATTCATCCACCAATCTCTGCAACTTCTCTTCAGAATCTCCCAAGAGCACAGTGTCATCAGCAAAGAGCAGCTGTGACAACTCCCACTTTGTGTGTGATTCTTTATCTTTTAACTCCACGCCTCTTGCCAAGACCCTCGCATTTACTTCTCTTACAACCCCATCTATAAATACAGTATATTAAACAACCACGGTGACATCACACATCCTTGTCTAAGGCCTACTTTTACTGGGAAATAATTTCCCTCTACAGATGCAAATGAATGTATGTGTAATGGAATACTCAACCCTGAAAAGGATTGAAAAGATGTAACATTTATTTTGTTTTTAAACGAAAGGAATGAAAAGTAAGCTTGTATGGAAAGAATTGAGGGTAAAAGGAAGCAACACACTGAACAGTACAAATTAATCACTTATGTTTCCCTCTTATGGTATAAAACATCTTAATACATGCATTAAGACCCACATTTAAACTTTTTATTAAATATGTAGGTTTTAAGAAAAAGAGGATAAGTAAGTATACAAGATATGATGTAGGGCGAAATGACAGTAGTTTGTTGGATTATGTATTGGTAGATAAAAGACTGTTGAGTAGACTTCAGGATGTACATGTTTATAGAGGGGCCACAGATATATCAGATCACTTTCTAGTTGTAGCTACACTGAGAGTAAAAGGTAGATGGGATACAAGGAGAATAGAAGCATCAGGGAAGAGAGAGGTGAAGGTTTATAAACTAAAAGAGGAGGCAGTTAGGGTAAGATATAAACGGCTATTGGAGGATAGATGGGCTAATGAGAGCATAGGCAATGGGATCGAAAAGGTATGGGGTAGGTTTAAAAATGTAGTGTTCGAGTGTTCAGCAGAAGTTTGTGGTTACAGGAAGGTGGGTGCGGGAGGGAAGAGGAGCGATTGGTGGAATGATGATGTAAAGAGAGTAGTAAGGGAGAAAAAGTTAGCATATGAGAAGTTTTTACAAAGTAGAAGTGATGCAAGGAGGGAAGAGTATATGGAGAAAAAGAGAGAGGTTAAGAGAGGGGTTTGAAGCAATGTAAAAAGAGAGCAAATGAGAGAGTGGGGGAGATGTTATCAACAAATTTTGTTGAAAAAAGAAAAAGTTTTGGAGTGAGATTAACAAGTTAAGGAAGCCTAGAGAAAAAATGGATTTGTCAGTTAAAAATAGGAGAGGAGGAGTTATTAAATGGAGAGTAAGAGGTATTGGGAAGATGGAGGGAATATTTCGAGGAATTGTTTAAACGTTGATGAAGATAGGGAAGCTGTGATTTCGTGTATAGGGCAAGGAGGAATAACATCTTGTAGGTGTGAGGAAGAGCCAGTTGTGAGTGTGGAGGAAGTTCGTGAGGCAGTGGGTTTAAAATGAAAGGGGGTAAGGCAGCCGGGATTGATGGGATAAAGATAGAAATGTTAAAAGCAGGTGGGGAGTGTAGTTTTGGAGTGTTTGGTGCAATTATTTAATAAATGTATGGAAGAAGGTAAAGGTACCTAGGGATTGGCAGAGAGCATGCATAGTTCCTTTGTATAAAGGCAAAGGGGACAAAACAGAGTGCAAAAATTATAGGGGAATAAGTCTGTTGAGTATACCTGGTAAAGTGTATGGTAGAGTTATTATTGAAAGAATTAAGAGTAAGATGGAGAATAGGATAGCAGATGAACAAGGAGGCTTTAGGAAAGGTAGGGGGTGTGTGGACCAGGTGTTTACAGTGAAACACATAAGTGAACAGTATTTAGATAAGGCTAAAGAGGTCTTTGTGGCATTTATGGATTTGGAAAAGGCGTATGGGCAGGGTGGATAGGGGGGCATGTGGCAGATGTTGCAGGTTTTATGGTGTAGGAGGTAGGTTACTGAAAGCAGTGAAGAGTTTTTACGAGGCTAGTGAGGCTCAAGTTAGAGTACATAGGAAAGAGGGAAATTATTTCCCAGTAAAAGTAGGCCTTAGACAGGGATGTGTGATGTCACCGTGGTTGTTTAATATATTTATAGATGGGGTTGTAAGAGAAGTAAATGCGAGGGTATTGGCAAGAGGCCTGGAGTTAAAAGATAAAGAATCACACACAAAGTGGGAGTTGTCACAGTTGCTCTTTGCTGATGACACTGTGCTCTTGGGAGATTCTGAAGAGAAGTTGCAGAGATTGGTGGATGAATTTTGTAGGGTATGCAAAAGAAGAAAATTAAAAGTGAATACAGGAAAGAGTAAGGTTATGAGGATAACAAAAAGATTAGGTGATGAAAGATTGGATATCAGATTGGAGGGAGAGAGTATGGAGGAGGTGAATGTATTCAGATATTTGGGACGTGGACGTGTCAGCGGATGGGTCTATGAAAGATGAGGTAAATCATAGAATTGATGAGGGGAAAAGGGTGAGTGGTGCACTTAGGAGTCTGTGGAGACAAAGAACTTTGTCCTTGGAGGCAAAGAGGGGAATGTATGAGAGTATAGTTTTACCAACGCTCTTATATGGGTGTGAAGCATGGGTGATGAATGTTGCAGCGAGGAGAAGGCTGGAGGCAGTGGAGATGTCATGTCTGAGGGCAATGTGTGGTGTGAATATAATGCAGAGAATTCGTAGTTTGGAAGTTAGGAGGAGGTGCGGGATTACCAAAACTGTTGTCCAGAGGGCAGAGGAAGGGCTGTTGAGGTGGTTCAGACATGTAGAGAGAATGGAGCGAGACAGAATGACTTCAAGAGTGTATCAGTCTGTAGTGGAAGGAAGTCGGGGTAGGGGTCGGCCTAGGAAAGGTTGGAGGGAGGGGGTAAAGGAGGTTTTGTGTGCGAGGGGCTTGGACTTCCAGCAGGCATGCGTGAGCGTGTTTGATAGGAGTGAATGGAGACAAATGGTTTTTAATACTTGACGTGCTGTTGGAGTGTGAGCAAAGTAAACATTTATGAAGGGGTTCAGGGAAACCGGCAGGCCGGACTTGAGTCCTGGAGATTGGAAGTACAGTGCCTGCACTCTGAAGGAGAGGTGTTAATGTTGCAGTTTAAAAACTGTAGTGTAAAGCACCCTTCTGGCAAGAAAGTGATGGAGTGAATGATGGTGAAAGTTTTTCTTTTTCGGGCCACCCTGCCTTGGTGGGAATCGGCCAGTTTGATAATAAAAAAAAAATAATATGTAGGTTACAGTGAAATTCATTTCAAAGAGTTTTCAGTCTTAGCAAGTGTTTTGAGCAAATTTTTTAAAATATTCTTTGGCTGGTTTTTGTTTTGATATCTAAATGGTAAAGCATTGGATGAGAGGCACCACTTGCCTGCACACTGGTCTGAAGTTTATGAACCATTAGTGAGCAATAATATAACAAGCATTGTGAAGTAAGCCAGTGAGAGCACAGTGGTTGCATTACCTTAAAAATGTCCCTAATGATGAACAAAGGTTCTAATCAAGGACTGGTTTAGGTCGTTGTGCAAGAAAGGTATACAATAGCAACAAGATGAAAGTTAAGACACATGTGCAACATCTGGTTATCTTTATTGTTGATGTTTCGCCATCCAGTGGCTTTATCAATACGGATTCTAGGACATAATTAGAAGACAGTAGAACTATATACAAAAGATGAGGTAATCAGTCCCTCGGCCTTGGAGTTGGTGTTGAGAGCACCACAGTGCTGACAATTGTTTCTCACTTATCCACACCAACAACAGTCTCTCCACATCTTCGAGTATTTGCGATCTGTTTTGTAAGCACACATGCTCCTTTTGCAACAACAGCTTCCTTGATTGCCTTTTTGTTGCACAAGATGGTAGTGATGGTTGAATGGGGTTTGTTGTATAACTTTTCCAACTCCGAGATACGCACTCCACTCTCGTACCTTTCTATTATCTCCTTTTTTTAATTTGATAGTACACCTCACCCTTTTTACCACAGAAGCTTTCTTTGGGCCCATGGTGGCTTATTTAACAGTTACAATGGAATGATACAAAATATATCACATGTACGTGTGGAACCGTCCTCAGTGACTTGTAAACAGTGGCACACTGGCTGGTACACGGGGTGAGTGGCCAGGCCTGCTCAGGGCGCCGTGCAGACACGTTCAGGACAAAAGCTCCTAACTGAGTTTTTAGGTGTTATCTGAGCCTATTTTTTTTACGCCAAAGTGAGCCATTATTTGATGTAGGTGTTAACTGAGGGTCCACTGTACTCTGATGGCATCAGTATTAAATTTATAATAAATATTGAAATAAAATAAATTAGGGTAAAGTCAGTGCAGTGAACATATTTAAAAGATTATTCTGCAGCAGATTTTTCTTTTGAAACCCAAATGCTGTTAAAATGGTGCTGCATCCCTAAACACTCATTACACCCAAGTGTTTTCCAGATGAGTTTTTTCTTTTAACACCAGCCATTTCCCATTGAGACAGGGTGGCCCAAAACAGAAGTTCGGCTAACTGTTTTCCCTGAATCCCTTCATAAATGTTACGCTACTCTCACTCCACCAGCTCATCAAGTCATAAAATTCATTTGCCTCCACTTTTAATAATAATAATAATACCAATTTTATTTCAGCATGATACATGTTTGTACAAAGGAGCATAACAATTGGGTTTACATGTCAAAAGCCCCTTTATATGCAGAGCATTTCAGGCAAGCCTCTTGTCTAACACTGTCTCAAGAATGAATCTGTTTGGGACAATCCTGGAACATGCCAGTCTCAAGAATTCATTTTTTCAAGTGATAATTTTTACATAGTTGAATTTATATTTATACTGATAAGGTTTGCAACTTACATTATAAAGATGTTCATGTTTGCAGTATACATTCTTTTTCATGGTGTCACAGAGACAGGCTGAGCATAGATCATTTCTTCTGGGGCTCCTGCTGCCTGCCATCCCTTGTTCCAGGGACACACTATGTTCATGGCTGAGAAGACTTTCTGGATAAAGAAATGACTTCTTAAAACTAGAATAACTTTAGTTTTTGAGAAGTTAACATAAAAGGTACCATATGCCATTGTGGTTAATAAATGCCATGCATTATGAAACATTGGGGAAAGTTGATAATCATAGAATGTTGAAAGAGGCTGACAGTCAGAGAAGTTGCTGTATGCAACTGATGATAAAAATGGGGTCGTTCAAAACATTTTATGGGTATATTCTGTTGGGACAGCAATCCCATGCATGGTTTGTTGTGGTGTCCTACATAAAGGGGCAAGACTGCATCCACACACTTATCCAATTACTGGACAGACTCAGTGCTGTTTAAATATCTGATTAGTCCCTGGTTAGTATGTTTTCTATTTAAGTTTAAGATCTTTTTTGTTATTCCATGGCTTGTTGTTTAGATTGATTCCTCTTAATGGAATAAACTGTCATTGTTCCATTTTTGTATATTTTGCAAAATGTCTTGTGTACCCTCTGAGTAGTTTGTGAAAGAATAAGTCCAAGTATCCTGACTGGGACAATTCACAAATAATCTACTATCCTAGATTGAAACTTTAGATGACACATAAGTTTGCCCTGAACCATTATCAAGACAACTGTTGTGATTTTTAAACCTTTCAAAAATTTTTTCCCCCCTA